ATTAGATCCCGGCCGTGAAAGCCTTCGCGAATACATTTTTTAAAAATTCTAATATTTCCGGACTGTGCATAAGCGAAACTGTAGATACTGAACCCGTGGATACGGAGGCCCTACTATACTGTATACAATTTTCTGCACAAACAATAACCAAACAAAGGAAGATAACATAAGGCATTCCGATTAACAAGCCCTCAGCAACTGTGACCACGACCAACTCTCATGAAACAAACTTTGACATGCAAACGAATCTCCATAAAGTATCACAATCACATATTTCACAGCTGATGCCTCAAAACGGGATACAAAGGGTTGAGATCTGAAAGTTGGCCAGTAAACAGAGCTTGTTAACAAATAATAACTCAATTGACCTACAAGAAGCCTTGCCAAGCCTGCAAGGGTAGAGCACCCCGTCCTCTCTTGACTTTTTTGGGGTGAGTCGCAACCGGCCCTGCCGTTCGGCAGAGTTTGAGGGATCCACCTCAGCCGGCTGCAGAGCATGAAAAGGCTGTGAAGGGCCGAGGGTTTAAAGGGGTCACCCCTGCATTTTTAGTCTCGGAGCAAAGGATCTGCGTGGTGTTATTTTTCTGTCTCCGCGCTGATAAAACTTCTTGGCCTGATTCTGACGCCATGCACCCGTTTTAGGGAAGGAAGGGAGGGACAGGATCCTGTTTGCTCTTTTGCTTCGGGCAAAAAAGGGGTGTCTCGGGTCAGCGCCGACCCGTGGACCTCCGTCCAACGGCCATTCCCATCCCTGACCTTGGACATCGAAAGACGGGCTAGCTGGGAGCCCTTGGCACGCGGTCCAGCCACCTGCTGCTAACCACTCACCACCTGTGCCCAGCGGACTATAATTACCTGTATATATATAAAGATATATTTATATATTTGTATTTCATACTTTCCTCCCTGTAGGAGGTGTAAAGTTGATACTTCTGCTCAGTTTTTAAAACCAGGCTGAGTCAGGGTGTCTGCCTTCTTAGCCTAAGTTCTCTTCTCTCTGCTCATTTGAAAAGAAGCCCCCCCCTAACTTTTTAAAAATGTGGGTCTCTTGAAACGCAAGGGATGAGTCCTCCCAACCGAGAGAAGAGGGAACAGAGAGAGGTCCCTAGAGACGTCTTACGGAACGAGCCGTGGCTCGTTCGTGCAGGGCTGCTCCTGTGTTTCGACTCCGAGGACCACCTGCAATGCTCGCCCCTGGGGGGGGTCAGAGAGCCTGACAACACGCAGGGGCTGGAGATATTCCTTTTGGGGGGGGGTTTCCGGGTCCCAGAATCTGGCTCCCCGATGCTGGCTTCCAATTCTAGGCATTTCATTCCAAAACCTTCTGTGCTCAGAGAGAGCTCGGTGGTTTCAGCATCCAGAGGCTGAGAGTTCGATTCCTTCCCGCCCCGCCCCCCGGGCCTCCCTGACAGGGTCTGGATTTGATGACCTACAGGGTCAAATCCAGCTGTGCAGTTCTTAAGATTAGATGATAACTTCCTAAGAATTTTTCTTCCCAAGAAAAAGGAGTCCTCTTCATCCCTTTCTTGTCCTGCTAGAGAATGCTTACCCCCCATTACTAGAAGCAACAAGGGGAAAACGTGATTTGTAGGAAATTGGTGGAAAACAGGAAGGAGGGATTCTATGGGGGAGGGGGGGTCAGGGCATTCCCAAGAGACAACACTTTCCTTGATACATGGAGGAAAGGGCAGAGGGATGCCCGGAAGAGCACTTGGTTTGTGGTCTCTTTTGGTGTTTCTTGATACCTGGGGAGAACTTTCCTGGGGGAGCCCTCTTTGTGGGTACATAACTCGGACATCCAAAACCTAACCTTCCGCAAACTTGTTGAGCTCATAGAGGAGAGTCGAAGAAAGCTTTCCTGAAAATGTGGCATCTCTAGGTGCTGGTGTGTGTGTTTTATATAGTTTTTTTAAAAAATGAATTTACAAATTGATTCATTGATTCACCAGAAAAAAAATTCATGAATTCGTAATTCATGACCCATCAGGTGCTGGTGTGTGTGTTTTATATAGTTTTAATTTTTTAAAAAAAATGAATTTACAAATTGATTCACTGATTCGCCAGAAAAAAATTCATGAATTTGTAATTCGTGACCCATCGATTTGACAGAAAAAAAAATCATAAATTCGTAATTTGTGATTTATCAATGAATCACGAATTTTTGAAAAAAAAATTGCCATTTTTTTAGTCCTGGCCACTAGTCTTAGTTGCCCCATACGAGTTGTGGTTCTGCTGGGGGGTGGGGTGGGGATTTGCGGTTGCGAGGGTGGGAAAGAAAAAACATTGCAGAAGCAGCCAGAGGGATGTCTAGTTCGGCAGGATGGGCTAAAACAACAGAGGTGAGTGGGCGAAGACTACAACTCCCACGTGGCAAGGTGGCTGCAGGTGAAGCATGCTGGGGCCACTGGGCAGCCACCCCCACCCCTTTCAGAGCGGCTCCCAAATGCATGCCATGACCAATGGATGGAAAGGGGCTACGACAGAGCAGGATTGGGTGGGGACAGACGCACCGTGTCATGCACGAAATCGAATTCCAGAAGCAACTCACAGACCGTGGGGTAAGAGCCCCCTTCTAAAGGCGAACGGGAGGGGAAGGGCCTCTGGCATGCACATCCTTTGAAAACTTTATCTGCCTGCTTTTCCTTTCTCCAAGTCATTTTTACCCTTTCTATAATAAAGCCGGTGGGCAGGGATGGCTTGTTCGGTGAGCATTAGGCTAAATCAAAACCATCTCTGGCCTCCGCTAATTAAGATAAGCCTTGCAGAAGCTGAGCCGCCGGTTTGAATCAAGGCTTTGCAAGAGCACATCTCTTGTGCAAGGGCAACTCTGGTTCCCTGCTCCTACCCGGGTGGATTCCCTTTGCTGGTTTGGTTCATCCTTGGAAAGCAGGACGTGGCCAGCAACGATATGAGCGGAGCTGCTCAGGTCTTGCAAAGGCTGCTGGTCACAGCCGGACGCCTGGCAAAGCACCTCCTGCAGCAAACGTTTCAACTGCAAGGGGTGATGACGAACCCTTCCATTCGCCACGAGCACATCCAGGAAGGAGCCCATCAAAAAACAAAACGGGGGGGAGGAGAGGGAGACACCGGGGGGGCCCTGCTCTTTCCATGCCAGGGCTGGGTGAAGGCCATGCAGAGGGAGGAGAGTTTCAGCCAGGCTGGCGACTACTAACTTGGTTTACGCGGCTTGGGCAGAGTGGGGGGTGGGACTTTCTTGGCTTTGTCGGCCGGTGGGGTGCAGACGGACTGAGGAACTATCTGAATGGGGGAGGTGCCAGGTGGAAGCGGGGATGGTGATACTGCAGGTGGTCAGAGGAAAGAGCAGAGGATGAGTTAGCGAGGTCTCGTGGAATGGAGAAGCCAGGCTGTCTTGAAGAGGGAGAACCAACCGAGCAGGGAAGCCCAGACTCTGGCTAGAAGCTGCCCCAGCCAGAAGAGGCGCCCTGGGCTCTCCAGCGGTGGGGAGGCCACCGTGAGGGTGGGGTCAAGGGACGGCCCGCCTCAGTTTGCTCATCTGCGTGTCGGACGTGCTGATCTTCATCACAGAATCCTAGAATCGTGGAGCTGGAAGGGGCCTAGAAGGCCATCCAGTCCAACCCCCTGCTCAGTGCAGGAATCCAAAGCAAAGCAGATCTGACAGATGGTGGTCCAATTTCCTCTTGAATGCCTCCAGCGTTGGAGCGCTCCCTACCACCTCCCCCTGAGGTCATGGGTTCTGTTGTCGTACTGCTCTAACAGTTAAGAAGTTTTTCCCGAGATTCAGCCTAAATCTGGCTCCTTGTCACTTGAGCCCATGGCGACCTGCCCTGCACTCGGGGATGATTGAGAACAGCAATAATTTACTGACCGGATGGAAGCCAGCGCTCTGTCCTCAGACACGCTCTCAAAGCCAGGGGAGCTCCAAAATACAAACAAGCCTGCCTCTGTGGACGTGCAGAGCGCTCTCCCATTGCCAGCCAGTCACTCCAAATGGCTCCCACTTTGCCGGTATCAGCTCCGAACGGGTTGCAGGGCTGCTCAATTACTGGGGGGGGGGGGTTGTCAGCAAGTCGCAATCCTACACATTCCGTTCCCACATCTGTGAGACGGGACCGCTAACAACAAGGGCAACCCTGCACAGGTTTACTTTGAAGCAGGGCTCATGATGTGCTAATGAGCTGATGTGCAAAGCAGCCAATTTAGGATTTAGCCAATTGTCCCCCAAAAAATCCATAAAGCAGGGGTGGGGCGGCTCCTGGCCTTCCAGAGGTGGTTGCCCACCCCTCTCCGCAGAGGGAGGACCAAAGGGTAAAGCCAGTTTGTCCAAGATAAACATTTAATTTTGCATGACACGAATATTTTAATTTCAGGGGAAATCAGTGCTAACGGGTGGAGAGAAACGCTCAAGAACGACGGGTTGGTGGCAATGGGGAATGTTGACAGGAAACGAGAGATTGTCAGAAATTCCTGTTTTGCATGGCAGGAAAGAAAGGAGGTGACCACTCTGTTCCTGGCCCTCCTGTAAACCCGGTTTCCTAGGAAAATCCGGGAACAATTGGAAAGAATCGAGCTGAGAGACGGACGTGGGTTTTGCAGGAAAAACAGTTCGGCCGCTGTAGAAAAAGAAGCCCTAATCCTGTCCTGGGAAGAGGGGGGCACAGCCATGTCAGGGGGCCGTGCCAGGGAGAAAAAGAGAGCAAGCCGGTCGGCCTCAAGAGGTGCAAAATGATAATAACAGTAATACTAAAGGAATAGAGGCTCTCTGGGAGATAAGCTCCTCCCAAGGTAAATGGCTCCACTGTTGTACTGCTTTAACGGTTAGGAAGTTTTTCTTGTTATTCAATTGAAATCTGGCTTCTGCCAGCAAAGGGTTCTCCTGCGGGTTTAGTGCTTAGGAAGTCAGAATCAGGGCCACGGAGAGATCAGCCAAGGAAGCAGGGAGGTGAAGGGGGGGGTCAAGGAGTAGAGGGTGCCCGAAGGGATCTCCCCCCCCCCACAAAGGTCTCACATCGCGGGAAGCCAGACGGAGGTGGGAAGGCCAGGCACCCTTACCTTCTGCCACATTGACCACGAAAGGGCTTTTCGGGATCTGGGCTCCGGCGAAAGTGACGTAGATGGTGTGCGGTCCCTCCAGGACGGGGCGGTAGGTGCACCGGAAGATGTTGTCGCCTTTGTCCTCCAGCACAACTTCCACGGTGTCACGGCGGCCCTGGGGGTCGACGATCACCACGCCCACATCGCCGGCCCCGGCCCCTGGGGAGAGGAGACACGGTGAGAGGCCCGGTGGTCGCACATCGCCGCTGAGCGTGCAAGGCCGGCAGGCACGATCCGAGCAGATTTGGGCACAGGGCGGAGCGTCATCTCCAGTGCCATGGCACAGGTTCCCACACCTGTATTCCCCTTGGTACAGCCGAGCTTAGAAAAGTTGCTTTTTTAGAATACAGAGCACCCCGGCCAGGCCTACGTGCCATTTATGCTGGGATTGGCTGCCTCCCTCGGTCGTTCTGGCCGCGGATGCTAGGAATCGCAGTCTAACCAAGTAACGCGTCCAAGCTCTGCCGATCAGCAGGCGTGAAAGGTGGCGAGGCTCAGTTCTTCCCTGGGAACACAAAGTTCTCCCCTAACACTCCCCCCACTCCTAAGCCCCAGCCAGGCCCCGATTCCAAAGGATGCCGTCTTTCACACCATGCATCATTAACAATGCAATCCTCTTTGTTATTTTGTCATGTTAACGTGCCATTAAGTCAGAAGGAATCAATTCATAGTGACCTCCCACCCCCCCAAAAAAGAGGGCTTTCGAGGTCATTTAAGCAGAGGTTCCACTCGTTCCGCCACCCTCCCAGTTTCCACTGCTGAACAGGGATTCGAACCCAGGTCTCCAGAGCCCTCCTGTGCCCATTACACCACAACGGGGAAGCACATTTTTGCACCGTCCGAATTTCAGTCCCTTTGACCGAAGTCCCAGCTACCCGGCTCTCTCAGAGCCCTTAATGTCCTCTGAAACTCTGAGCCCAAATATTTCCCATGGCCACACCGTGCGGGGATTCTGTGACTCAAAAGCTGTGGTTTTGTGGGTTTTTCCCCTTGTCTTCTGATGTTCCTATATATACCCGGGCTTTTGCCCACCCCTTGGCCCCCAGATCCCTTACCTGCCGTGTAGATGTCAAAGTAGGTGGGCTTGTTGGCCACGTTGCCCACGGGCTCTAGGCCTGGGCCACGGGCGGACACCTTGCTGGCATCGCCCAGCGCCATGCCCACGTTGACCTCAAAGGGACTCTTGTCGATGTTCTGCCCCGCAAACAGGACCGTGACCTAGATCAGGAGAAGAGGAAGGAGGCCGGATGAAAGCGGGGAAGCCCGATCCACCCGGTTCATCGTAATGCGGTTTCGTCATTAAACAGGGCAATCGTAAAGCGAGGCACCACTGTAAAGGAGAGACTCATAACGGCTGATTGCCGCCTCCTTGAGCCCTAGAAACTTGGAACGTGAGGCTTGATGTCATTCTGCTTCTCCAGGAGACTGTGAAACAGGCCACCCCACGGATCCTGTCCAGACAGGGATAACCCCCGGATGCGGACCGCACGGAAACCGCAATCTTTCTTCTTGATCATGGATCCTCATGGATCCAAACAGCGACGTGACAGAAATGCAACAGGTGAATGAGAAAAGTGCACCGGTTGGGCTATCAGCCTGCTACACACACACTGGGGGGGGGGGCTCGTAGCCTACAGATAGAAAACAAACTGAGGGGCAGGTGAGGGAGGGGCTTCTCTCACCTTATGCAAGCCGGCCACTTTGGGCACGTAGGAGACGGCGTACGTCCGCTTCTTGTCGTTGTTGGCAACCACTTTGGCCTGAAGGAGGGAGACCATCGGGAGGCGTTAGTGAGAATAAGACGAAGGCTTAGGAAATAAATGTCGTTTAGCAAAGCACCGCAAGTGTGTTATTCATTCATAGACACCTTCCTGGGTCTATTTACCCCAAAGCAGTTTACCCTCAAATAGGTAGATATATCAAAATGGCAATCATGAGACAGTAAAACGGGTGCTCGTTTCGGGCACCGCAAAGCATGGCAGAGGAGAAGAGAGACCCAAGGAGGGGTTAAAGTTGCTTCTTTGGACTATCGTGCCCAAAATCCACAGGCAGCAGGGCCAAGGGTGAGGGAAGGGCTAAGGATTCCCTGCTAAATAGCATCTGTGCCTTTCCCTGAAAAGCAGCTGGTGAGCTATAAGTAACGTTGCTAAACTACCAACCCCAGAATTTTATCGGCTGGAACTGAAGGGGGCATGAAACTCGTGTAATGCTACGGAGTAGACCCATTCTCTGTTAACTGTGAAAAAGAGGAAAACCAGGGTTTGGGGCCATGTGAGGACTAGGCCCTCATTCATTCATTCATTTTTGGGACACCGGGACACTCTCTGACGCATCCCCAGCAAGTATTTGGCAACCCAAGAGATAGGGTGGCTCAGCGACCCGTCTTCCCGACGGCGGATCTGTGTTTGAGTTATAAAAGGGCTTGACAGCGTTTCTTTAAGTGTCGCAAAGCACTTGAATAGTTTGGGATTCTTCTGATGCGACTCTGCCTATCGCAAATCCTCCTTCTGTCAATGGTTAGAAACGCTTTAATAAAGAGCTGAATGTTGTGGCATCGTGGACACGAGTGATGAGCTAGGGTTCAGGAGATCTGCGTTCGAATCCCCGTTCAGCCCTCAAAAGTCTTCCGGACACCTTGCTCTCTTTTAAAACAAGGCCCGTCCTCCATTTGTATTCTATTGATTTATTTTATTATTTTTTTTGAAAAGGGCAGGTTAGATCAGAAGCGGGCTTTTGATCCCTTTTTCGGTTTCGATGGGAAGGCAAAATGGAGCCCATAGGGGTGGGCGGGATCGATTGGCTCCCGATCCATCCAAGCGGCCCCGTCCTCGATGTAAAGAGATGACAACAGTTCTGAGCGAGGGAAGAGAGGAGGGGGCCTTCTCTCCTGTTGGGAATTTTCTCCCGATAAGCCTGGAAGGATCGTTCACTTGGGAGTAAAACCCTGCAAAAGCCGGGGTCGCTTTCAGGCGGGGGGGGCGACGCAGGTACCTCTTCCGTGTGTCCCTCCGGATCTTCAATATAGACCAGGACCTCTCCCATTCCTGCCTCGATGGTCTCCACGGTGAAATGGGCTGGTTTCAGGACGGTGTTCCCATGCGGTTCGATGCCTGTGGGGAAGGTGCAGGACATAAGCCCGGAAGGGATTCCAAAGAGAGGCCCTTTCCCTCCTCGCTCACCCCGTTCTCCCGGCCATAGACAACCTCTTTCCTTTGCTGCATTACCGAGCCGGTCAGAAGGGACCCAGAAGCCGAAGGAAGCCGAGAAGATGAGCAGAGGGGCTCGGGCACCTCGAAGAGGGAGGGCCGCAGGGAGAGCCACAGGCAGCCCTCTAATGGCATGCGTCCCCCAGGGACCCAAAAGCAGGCTCACAAAAACCCCACCAAAATGCAATTTATAAAAAAGTCTGCTTGTGGCTATTAAGAGGAGGGGGGTGTCAATTTTGCTTTATTTCAAGAGGTCCACAGCATCCCAAAGGAAATAGAGTGATTTTTTTTTCAAGAAAAGGAAAATGACTTCTTTTTTTTAATGATTGGCCCAGGCATGACCCCCCCCCTCCAAACTCCGGGAACAAGCACGTGGGTCTTCTGGATCTCCAGAGATCAACCACCCCTGGTTTAGAGCCTACTTAGGTGACCTGGTTCAGAGCCGGGGAAATTTAACTTATTTTCTCTTTTGTATGACAACTCCCAGAATCCCCCCCACTACTAGGGGCATCGGCCCTACTGGTTGGGGATTCTGGAAGTTGTAGTCCAAGGAGGAAAACATTTAAAAAAAAAACTTTTCCCAAGCCCTGGGCCCGTTTCCCAGGTTTTCTACTTCAGGGAAGGCCAAGTCTGCAGATCGTAACCTTTCCATTTAAAAGCCTGACCTCAAGAGCCAGGCTCAGAAGCAGGCAGCCCTGTCCCCCCCACCCCCAAATCCTGAATTCCCGGAACAAAGCCATAGCAGGTTCACCAGCTTCAAAAGCTGTTTCTATCGACCCTTGACACTCAATAAAGGAAGGTCTCTCCTTCATACTGTTCTTCTGGCAACTCTCCCGGGGCTTTGACAGCAGCTCCAAGAGACAGAAATCTAACCGGTCAAGCCTTCTGCCCATGGCTGCTCCCCCTGTTGAATCCTGTTTTTGCTTTGTATCTGTCAAAAGGCCATCGAAGGGTGCCTGTCCAGGAGGAGGAGGAGGAGAGCCCTAAAGACTAAGGAAGAAAATGCACCTCTTGCAAAAAATTTCCAGCCCGCGTCGGAGAAGCACATTGCGGTCCAGCTGATGACACCCCCTGGCACATGCGGAGTGAACATTGGGGGGGGGGGAACTCGGCTTCTACCGAGAGCAGTGGCAGGCGGGCGGCTTGTTTGCAATGCTATCACCATAGAGATAGCGCAGGCGGGCCAACTTTCTTTCAAAGCTGTCCCTGTACATAGCTGTCCCAGCCAAGCGCTGTCTAGCTCTGCAGGTGTTGACCGGGTGGCCAACCATCTCTGCAAAGAATTCCCACACAGAAAAACTTTGTTTTCATTGAGTGTTGTTTTGTTTCATTAAAGAAAGCAAAGTCTGGAAAAGTTTTGTGGGTTTTGCTAGTAGTCACTATGTGTTGGAGTTTTTGCAACCACACAGACTGCCTTTAGTCAATTTCGCTGGAAGGGACCTTTCTAGGCTGGGGCGATTGATGGTCAATCTGTCCAGCAATAAGCAACCGCTTCCTTCCCTGCCTCTGGTTTCAAAGAGAGCCCCGCCTCTCTCCTTAAGTGTCTTTTTCCCCACTCTGAAGTCCGTTGGAAGCTGTGAACCTGCTGAAGTCTCTTTTTTTGCTGAAATCAGTCGTGTTTCTCAGCTTGCTGTTTGAACTGTTCCATTGTAAGCAATGAAACTTTTTATTCTTTCTCTTACTAATGTCTCAGAGTGAGTTCATGAGACTGTAAATGACAGTTCGCGACAAAAGGGGTGGACTACTCTGGGGGGGTGGAACTCGAAGCTATTCTGCTCTGTCCATCCTGGCACTTCTGTGCAGCGACCGGAATTGAACAACAACAACAAAAAAAACCCTCTGCAACAGTTAGCTAGGGGGTGTTGTTGTTTGGACTACAGCTCCCAGAATCCACGCCATCCAGGCCATGCTGTCTGGGAGAGGCTGGGACTGTGATCACTGTTCCCCCCCTCCAAAAAAATTTAACTTTTCCAAGCTGTGGGTTAAAAAGGACCAGGTGAGGCCAGCTGACATCACCCTAGACATGGGGTGAATGGAGAGGACAGCTGTTTCCCTCCACCACTTGGTCAGGGGCTCCCTTCCTTCCTTCCTCTTGTCCATCATCAGCCCCTTCCTTCGTTCCTTCGTTCCTTCGTTCCTTCGTTCCTTCGTTCCTTC